AAAATACCACGTAAACTTTTCTGAAGACAGTCAGTTCCCCTCAGAAACACATTCATATAAACCCCCAAATCAATATTGAGGATTTTCTTCCAATAGTTCGTGCATCATGAACAATGAGTGATCTGCCGGCTACAGTATTTTTCTCTGTGCGTCCGTATTCAACGTCTCTGGCCTGTGTTAACGGGCGTTTACAGACTTCATATTTTTCACATAAATGATATTTTGGAAAACGATTGCATTGCAACGCAGTTTGTGCAAGTCCAGAACAGAGACGAGTTGCTTGCAAGAAGACAAAAAAACGTCCGTTTGCCGATCGCGTAAGTTTCAGGGGCAGCTCCTTAAGTGTGGCCATCCTACACACACTGACCACTCGCTCGCACCAACAAGAGGAGGAGGGTCGTGTTACTCTCTACACTGCACTCAACCTGAGGAATTCCTACACTTTCAGTCTTTGAGGAGACATGAAAAACAGCGCATACCACAGGAACGGTATAACGGAAAATATTAGCAGTTTTGAAACCGGTAATCGGCCCATGCCTAGTCGCAATATTGTAAATAATTGTTTTTAACCAGGAAGGCGAACCAATGGATATCACACAAGCAACGTGCAAACTTTGCGCAAGAGTTATGCAGTGAACCTCTTAATCTCAGTCAATTCACCAGAAAGTGAAAGTACAAACTGATGGCGTTTTCCGCATCTGACGCTGCATTAACGGCACATATTCTCTCAGAGACGACAACAGACGAATTTACTTCATATGCTGATAATGGTGGCCTATATAGCTAAATGTTTTAATTTACTCCCTTAATATTTCTCTTGTGGCCCAAACATAGGCTAGTGGACAAAAAATAAAAAAAAATACTTACGAGAGAGAAGAAACATCTTTCGTGTTAAACAGGTCTTTTTTTTTTTTTTTTTTCTTTAAGTCGTGGCTTGAAATAAAGCTTTTTCATTGATGATTGCAGTGTTAATAATTTTAATTATAGGCCTATAATTCATTGTGGCTATAATAAACCTGTTTTGAAAGACCTTTTTAAAAACATTTTCAATGAGGAGTAAGCTAGCCTAATCTTTATCCTCGCAGCGCGTCAGTTATGCTGTGATGCGCTATGAAATTGCGGGGCAAATTAATTGTATTAATTTAATAATAAAAGTAACTTAATAATAATAGGCTAATAAGAAGAATGTAACAGGCCTATGTTAATTGAAAATGCCAAATTAGATCTAACCAAGTGTATAAAATTATTTTATTCAGAAAATGTCATGTTTTTTTTTTTGTTTTTTTTCGTTATTTAAATTAGGAAACAGGTGCAGTTAATCGCCGGCGTCAGTCACTAAATTTATATATTAAAAAAAGTAATAAAAATAGGCTAATCTTTGTGAGGACAACTGGCAACAGCTGGTCTTAAAGTCTTTAGACACCGCATACCAAACGACTCTGAACACCGACTGACATTCATAATCGACCTGACTGTAGTGTTCACAGAATGAACCAGTTCACGCCTGGAACTGAAAGTCTTACCGTTACTTGCGGGCTGATGGACGGGCTTTCTCCCTGTCAGTGCGAGTTTTTAAAAGTCTTTTTTTTTTTTTTTTTTTTTTTTTATATTTT